TTAAAAAAAATTTATTTAAAAACTCAAACAGGATAAGACAAAAAGATTCGCATCAAAAAAAGGAATACGGAAAAGGATTAAATACCCAAAAAAGCCTCAATTCAGATGCATATCAGTCGGTGCTGAAGCTAATTTCGTAATTTTACTTGTCTCTCACATAAAAGTAAATTGGTGCTTCCTACCAGCCCTCTATAAATAGGACTTCCGTCCACGAAATGCCCTCCTAATTCTCCAACGCTTCCTCCGAATTTTTCTCTACACGTCTCTAGAAAACTCAGGTGAGTTTCTAACCTTGGAACTCGTAGCATAACTATCTGTAATCTCCGATTTGTGTTCATATGATGGGAATTTCATCTGGGTTTTCATTGATCTGCTTTGTTCTCATCTCGTTGTGTTGTTCATGGTTGACCTTAGTAAATTTGTGGCTGTTTTGTTTGTTCACTTTGAATTTATCAAGATAACCATATATTTTTTGGGAAAAGAGGATTCTTTTGCTTTTTTTATCATAATTTTTTCTGGGTCTCCCTGTTCTGGACAATTTTTTGCTTTAAAGTTTGACTACATGCTTAATTTTTTTCACTAAAATTGAAAAAAGTCCTCTTTTTTGGAGGTGTGGGTGGTGTAGCTGGGATTTTATTTAGAAAATTTGACAAGGGTGGATTTTTGAAGTTTTGGAAACCTATTGTATTGAATACAGAAGACAGAAGCGGAAGCAGAAGCAGAAGCAGAAGCAGAAGCAGAAGCAAAAGCTAAATTTTTTTCTATGCCATACTAAAAGTACTTTAATGTTGCCTTTTTGGTCGGTTTTAGAAATCCTTTTTCCTCCCAAAAAAAAAAAAAAAAAGAACTTTGAATTGATTGTTTATGAATTTTATGGTATTCTGTTAACTGTGTGAGATTCTGCTTTCTGTTGTGTTCTTGTTTTATAATTGATCTCTATATTGGAACGGGATTTTTGTTATCTCTGTTGTGTTGTTTGGCAGTTGAATCTAGGCAACTCCATTGTATTTTATAGTTGGTTGATAGAAGAAGTTTTTAGTCTAGTTGTGTAGGTGAAAATTGTGTTTTTGTAACTGGTATGGAAGCCTCTCCATTAGCCATTTGAAAAGGAGTCAAGGGAGCAAACTATTTGAATTTGTCCAAAATGAGTACATCCTCACCTAACAAAACCGGTCCATAGGGCTACATAATAGTTTGCATTTTCATTTTTTCCGTTCTTGGTTCTGCCAGTTCATGAGTGTTTACATGTGTTCAACCATTGTCCATACTTGTCTTACAGAACCAAAGGGGCTCACTGTTTTTGTTCCCTCGTGTGTTTGTTACATATCTTACATTTTATGTTACATTCTTTTTGTTGTTTATTGCAATTGCTGCATTTTTATGGATATTATGTGTATAATATGACTTCTAACTTCACATTTGGCATGATTTGCTAACTAAGGCTTCAAAGAGTATTGACGATTTGAAAAGTGCGATTTTCAAAAATGCCAAAGGATAGAAGAGTTAGTTCCTTGTCTTTTGATCGATCTAGGGTATCTCCTTACCCATGTAGTTCCAGGAATGCCAAGCAATTCACAACTGAAAGTCCATCTAAAGCAGTTTATGAATTTAAAGAGTGGGAGGAAGCCAGGTGCCCTATCTGCATGGAACACCCCCACAATGCTGTTCTTTTACATTGTTCTTCATTTGAGAAGGGCTGTCAACCTTACATATGCAATACAAGCTACCGCCATTCAAACTGCCTTGACCAGTTCTGTAAGTCATCTGTGTCATCTCCTTCCACCATAATACTGCGAGAAATTCCTCCCCCAAGGATGACAAATGCTTCTCACAATGTAAGGGAGCCATTGCCTCAAGATGAGCAAGGTGGAGCTGGTGGAAGCAGTTCGCAGCCAAATCTTGTTTGCCCTTTATGCCGAGGAGAGTTATATGGATGGAGTGTTGTAGAGCCTGCTCGAAGGTTCATGAATTCCAAAGCTAGGAGTTGTTCTTGTGAGAACTGTGATTTTGGCGGTACTTACAGTGAACTCAGGAAGCATGCTAGGGCCATGCACCCATTGGTTCATCCAACTGAGGTGGACCCAGCACGGCAACGAGATTGGACTAGGTTGGAGCAGGAAAGGGACTATGAAGACATGCGTAGCTCAATTCAGTCAGCATTTGGCGAAGATATCAATATGTTCTGGCTTCTTGGTTTTGCCCTTAGGTTTATCTTAAGTTTTGAAGGAAGAGGAGAGCAGGTTCAGAGGAGGTTTAGTCATGATCTAGAGAGTGATCGTGGCACTAGTAGGGAAAGTAGTTTGTACCTTGGCTTGTGCATTAGTTCACCAGAAGAGAGAATGCCTCAAGTAAGGCACCAAAGTCCACGAATGAGGAGAGCGCATCCTCGATGGAGGCACCAAAATTCATTATTGGAAAGAGGGCAGCCTCAGGGGAGGCAACAAAGTTCATTACGGGAAAGAGGTCTGCCTCAAGAGAGTTACCAAAGTTCATTTCCGGAAAGAAGGCAGACTCAAGGGAGTTACCAAGGTTCATTACCAGGAAGAGCACAGCCTCAAGAGGGGAACTTACGGGAAAGAGCACAGCCTCAAGGGAGGCACCAAAGTTCATCACTGGAAAGAGAACAGCGAGGATTGCGTTGGCGTAGACCAAGATGAGCAAACATTCGCATGGCCACATTGGCTAGGGAGCCTCCTTTTCATGTGAACAGATATTTCTGCTGGCAGCTACTCGTAAGTGCTTGTATCCCTTGTTTGTGTCTTTTTGTTCCATGTTCCAGTTTGTGACAACGCTTGTAGTGATTCTCTGTTATCTGCAATTACAGGTGGAAACAAAGGAAGGAGGCCCCAGTCAATATTTCTAGGGAAGCAGGAAATATATTTTGGTTGGTTACATAGGAACAAGTGATTCATTGTTAAGAACAGGAATTTCCATCAACTTTCAATTATGTTAATCATCATGCTTCAATTCCATCCAATTGCAAAGACGGCTTTATTTGTTTTTATTGTTTTTTAGTTTTGCATCAATTTTTCTTTTTGTTTCTGAATGGATACAATGTCCTGGGAGCCAGTTGGAGACTTACATAGAAAAAAGAAAGCACGATGCCCCTTTAGGGTTGGTTGTGCAGAAATTATGAAAAATAAGGCAAATAGATAAATATCATTGCAAAATATGTAGTAACTATTCACTATTATCAATTTTCTAATTTTGTCTTCAGTTCCGTGTTTTGTAGATGGTATACCACCGGATTGTAAAAGACGGCTCTCATTACTCAAGGAATTATTTCTCATCTAATGGTTTTATTACATAACATTTTTTTTATTTTGTTACTGAAGTAATATTTATAATATAACACAATTCTAATAGTATTAGGGAAAAGTTACACGCACAATATTTATCGTATAATATTGTGCATAATATGATTTGATATTGTTTATACTTAATTTTATAATAAATAGAGTGCCGTCAGTGTTATTCATGTTGGTAAATATTTTATTGGTTGAAAGTTGGTTTAAATTTTTTCAGATAAGATTGAGTGGTTATTTCTACAACGACAGTAAAACAATTCGCTTGTTGCGAACTTTAAGGAGGATTATCAGCAACACCAACAGATAAATCGATTTGTTTCAAATTTCACGCTACCGTTGGTTTTTTGGATGCTACTGCGGATTTTCACCATACTGCCAAGGTGCTATAAATACCCAATGATGAGATCAAGCAAAGGATCAACTTCTCACACAGCAAACTCAGCACAATTTCTCTTTATATTCAGATTCATCTTAATTTCAAGCCCTTTAATTTAATTTCAGTTCTACGCTTCAATTTAAATTAGTTTAGTAATTCAACTCTTCTTTTATTGGATTTGTAATGATAAGTTTCATTGCCTTTAGTAATATTTCTTTGTGATCGGATTGCTTCTTTTCCTTTTCTATTTTTCAAGTTTCCTTTAATTAAATCAAATGATATCGACATTTAATTTTATGTTCAATTCTATTTCTGTTAATTTATATTTCATACTGCTAGTAGATTTTTCATGTTTTCAGTTTTATTTACTTTAATTTAATTTACTTTTACTGCAATTAAATTTCCTTTTAAAACTCTGTTTCAACCCAATTTGCGCATTTAAAGTTCATTTAGATTTTCATTAGTTTAGCGATCATTTATTTTTCTTGCAGTCTTAACTTTTTTTGATTACATTAGCTTTGAGGAGTTCTTGGAATCATATTCAAAACATTTTGCTGTATAACTTATTTAGTGCAAGAAGTTCATCCATCGTTTTTGCCAATCGTCTGATCTTTAAAACACAATTTACGACATTTTTTCATCAACTCACAAGTTGAGTTCCACGCTTGGAAAGAAGAGACGGTCGTCGGAGAAATCTTTCTTATTTTGAGTAAAGCAAGTGGTACGCCATTTTATCTACTATGTGTTAATGAGATTTTTTGGAATATCAAATATATATAGTTAATTGTTTTTATTCAAAGTTAATTTATGATATATTTTATATATTTATTTATTTTTTAACCGGATTACATTAGGGTGTGGGGATTCGAAGTCAATCCAAGCGCTAGAGAATGCACTTTCAATGTGGTTAAAAGTTATCCAGTTGCAAGGTTCAAGTGCTATATATTCATTTATTTAATATTATGGTTGGTTTATAAAAAAATATCAGGTTATGTTGTACTATGAATAACATGACCTGTTATTGTGCATATAGCATCACAATTAATATGAATGTTATAATTAATGATTTATTAATCTGAATAGAAGGAGTTTGATTCTTTTTAAATAATATTTTAAATTTGAGTTTTATAAATGAAAAAATAAGCACTAAGAGAGCTTTCATCTTATAGATTTGATGCGATTCGATTTCGCATTAATTGTGATTCAATGTAATTATTGAATACTGGAAGGTTAATACTAAAAGGAAAAATATGTTATGAATTTTTTTTTTTATTTGGGGAACAAAAATGTGATGGAAATTTGTTTTAATTTAAGATATGTTTAGTTAGAGATAATCAGAGAAGAAAAATATATTTTTTAATCAATCAAATTATATTATTTTTTAATATTATAATTTAATTAACAAAAAAATATCATCAATCTCCTCATATTTCTCTCAAACCAAAACATTCTAAAGTTAAATGATAAATCGAAAATATTTAAGGGGTCTAATGTGACAAACAATTTGTTTAACTCAAAATGAAAATCGCTTCATTGTTGACGGGGCAAAAATTCAGACACTAGCGACCGACCCGACCCGACCCGACCATCTATTTTCTGGGTGTTGGGACTTTCGATTTGAGGGCGTCGTGCCTTGTGGCAGTGAGCCAGGGAGCCAGGAGGAAGCTGATAGAGAAGGCAAAACCCTAAATCTCTTCATCTACTTCACTCAGGTAAAGTCGTGTACTTTTCTTCAAAACTCGAAATACCCATCATTTCCCCTGTATTTCTCAGTCAGCAAGCACCGACTGACGATGGGATTTTATGAATCTTATTGCACTTTGTATACTGCTTGTTGAATTTGTAGATTATCATTTGTCTTGAACCTGCTTTCTCCTGATATTATTTACAATTGGTAGTTTGGGTTAGAAGGCCTACATTCAACATCATGGCTACCAGGTCATTGTCAAACGCGCTGTTGAAGGGCGTTGGAGGAATCCAAGCTGCTCGTTCCAGTAGAATTGTAAGTTCTAGACTGAAGATTTTGTTGATTGTAACGTATTCCTGTAGTCCTCATATTCCCAAGTCTCTTAGTATTTGTATGTGAATTTATTATTTGTTCGAACTGCACGTTGTGCTTTAATGTTATTCTCCATATTACTAGTGATGGAAACAATGAATTCAGCTCATGGTTTACTTTATTTTGTTAATAGGTATCTGGATCCTTCTATCAGAATGGCAACAAGTACTTTAGTACTGTTCCCCATGATGCTGATACACATGAGGATTTTAGACCAACCAATAAGCTTCAGGGTTCTGCTGTTTCTTTGAAGGATGTTGTTGAACAGGTGGGTTTGTCCTTGTGGAAGTTTCACGTTATATCAATGAATCATGTTCTTAACCTCAAAGCTCTCTTTTTTCTGATATATATATATATATATTTTAAAACCTTTATCCATAAGCTCTAATGTTATTGATTGTGAGTAACTGCTAATTTAGGATGTCAAAGAAAATCCTGTGATGATCTACATGAAAGGAGTGCCTGAATTTCCTCAATGTGGATTCAGCTCACTGGCAGTAAGAGTGTTGAAACATTACAGTAAGTTTTTGGATTAATGACTTTGAAAATTTCATCCATTGGTGATTGATTTACAGATTACCAATTCTTTACCAATTATACAAGAGGAATCAACTTAAAGGCAGCATTTGAAGATCCATCTCATTCTATGAAGTAAATAAATGGTTTAAAAATTTATAATATGATCCTAGCCAGGAATGGGAAAGTAAAATTATCTTTTGGCCTAATGCAGTATGGTCATCTGAAGCAAGAACTTGTTGAGAACCAAATTGTCTTGAAAGATGTTGAAATGATGGTTTAGGTTTCTGGCCACCTTTATTCATTCTTGGCATATGCTTCCCATGTTTGTTTTTCAACTTTTTCTTTTGCAGTATTGATTTACTTCTAGTAGGAAAGTAGTAGTGGATTAAGATATTCTTATTAACACGGTTTTAACCTCTGCAGATGTTCCTTTAAGTGCAAGAAATATTTTGGAAGACCCTGAGCTGAAAAGTGCTGTAAAAGTGTATAGGTAAGCTGGTGAATAGTAGTATCATGATCTAAGATTAATTAAATAATCATTAGAAATTATAGAAACTCTAACATTCAATTTATGCTAAGGTGTCTCCTTTTTATGGTTTAGACATAATATTTTGCAAGTTTTTTCCTTTTCACTTCCAAAAGGAACAGTGTGGGTAATTACTTAATAATGTAGAGTTTCAAAAGAAATTTTATTTCAAGCAACATAGCTAGAAGGACCATCTTTCTACAAATACAAATCTTCCTGGTGCATGTGTTGCTAACACCAGGTTCTGCTGGTGGTCAATGTTTTTGTCTAGACTAGGACTGACTACATGTAAATACAAAATATGTATGAGAAGAATCTCAGCTGCTTTTGGGCACACTGATTGGTTGATTATTTACGTCATAAGTGTCGATTATTTACTGAGAAGATTAAATGATATATTCACTTTGATGCTTATCTTATTTTCTTTATGTAGCAACTGGCCAACATTTCCTCAGATATTCATTAAGGGAGAGTTCATTGGAGGTTCAGATATCATAATGAATATGCACCAGGTTTGTTCTCATACTCGCTTCATTCCTTTTTGCTGTTTTATGGAAAAACCTATAAATGTGTCACTTTTCTAGCATGCACTTGGTCTAATGTCATACCTGTTCTATGTAGAGTGGTGAACTGAAAGAAAAGCTCAAGGACATTGGTTCCAGCCAGAAGTCTGAATAATTTGCTCTGGGTCTTCATGATATCCTTTGTTGTTTCTTTAATGTAGCGGGATGCAAGGCTGTTGCCT